AAAAAATAAAGTACTACACACATTTTTAAATTCCGAAAGCTATAAAAAAAAGTCATTTTGGTCCATAGCGCAAAGAAAATTTTCAATTTTGTTGAGTAGTGTAATTGTTGAACATATATTCCTAAGCTGGGTGTCAGCTGTTCTCTCAGTCCACATACGGTCCCGATAGGCAACTATCGATATAAATCTGTGGACTCCGCTCGTGTGATTTCGATTCCATTTAAATAATCATAGTTAATTTTAACTATCTGTGTTTTATTATCACTCTGAAGTTTATCTGACGGTGTTAAATTGGGGCGAGATTTTATTCTGTATGAGATGGCACTAAGGTATGGATCAATTTTGCGCTTAATAGTACAGGAATATATAAATCACACTTTTGCGAATGTCGGAGTGCTTTGAAATAAAAAGTATATTTTTTGACTTAAAACATTAGGTTGAGCCCAAACAAATGTTTTTCTGATATTTAAGCAGGACACCCCTTAATTTTATCTTGGGTTAGATAATAATATTAAAGTTTTTATTTTTGTTTAAAAAATTGTATAGAGGATGCTAACGAATTTTACATTTTTAGGCAAGATAATTAAAATTTTGTTTGATAAAATTTTGGCCCAGCCTAATATACATATTTACTTTTTTATTATTTTAAAACTGATCGACTTTGCAAAGACTGTAGCTCATTAAGTAATAGAGTAATACTGTAACGCAATCGATGAAATGTAGATAGTGGCAATTCCAGAGTTCGAAATTCTCCACTCAGGAGCTTGAAGTGCAGTACAACGGTTGTCTTATCTTGGATAGTACTAAAAATATAAAGGAATATTGAAAATTTATTTGAATATCAAAAATTAATGATGTACATACTTTAAAGTCAAAGTAATGTTGATTCTCCACTTCACATTTAAAATTTTAACACGATCTAACTTGGTATTCGAGTAATTTTTACTTAGTATTTCTCGATGATGTAAAATAACTGTGCAAATATCTTCAACGCATTCTTCTGAAAATCTGTAAAAAATTTATTTAATCAGTCAGTTCCCATTTCATTAACAAGGTCTTGCGAGACCTTTACTACAAAAAAGAACGTAACTTCCAAGCTAATTAAGTTTTCGTCACAGCTTAAAAGCAATGGGCGTTCACCAGCACGCTTCATCATGTATCATGGTTTTCAGTTCTGGTGATACCTCCTTCCTTTCGGGAAGTCGCACAGTGGGGCCTTCGTTTTCAGCTTACTAATTTAATCACTCTGAACGAGCAAAAATATTTTTATGAAATATACTGCATTTGAAAGAAAGCTTTCAAAATCTTGTCAGCACGAGTACACGGTGCTTCAATGTCTAGACGGTTTGAAACAAATTGCCCTAGTTGAACTGATTGTAAAGATAACACTACTCGACAAAATCAAACTTTTTTTTCCTCAAGGATCCAATCCGACTTTTTCTGAAAGATATGGGACTTTAAAATTTTTTAAAGAATAATGTTTTTTTTCTATGGCAGAAGATTTTTTGAAGTCTGGTATTTTTTATAAACCTTTTTTCAGAGGTGGCGCTTCTTTTTATACTCGTACTCAAAAAAGAGTTAAGGGGTATATTAGATTTGTGGTAAAAGTGGATGTGTGTAACGCAGAGAAGGAAACGTTTCCGACCCCATAAAGTATATATATTCTTGATCAGCATCAATAGCCGAGTCGTTATAGCCATGTCTGTCTGTCCGACCGTCCGTCCGTCCGACCGTCCGTCCGTCTTGTTGAGCGCCTGGATCTCAGAGACTAATAAAAGCTAGGGCAACCAAATTTGGTTTCCAGACTCATGTGATATCACACTGCTACAAGTGTATTTCAAAATTTCGCCCCGCCCCTTTCGGCCGCCACAAAGGACGAAAATCTGTGGCAGGCACAATTTTAAAGATACGATAAAACTAAAAACGCAGTATCGTAGAAAATATCATATCTACCAGATTGCCAGATCGGATCATAAGTATAGCCAGAATGAAGAAATTAATTTTCAGTTGCTTTCCCCGTCTACTTCAGCCAGAGAGCTACTCATTCTCTTTCTCGCTCGCACACTCTGCCGCGTTCAGTGCGCGAGCAACCCCTAGCCGAGGAGATGTAGAATCTAAATGGTACATGTATAATCTACATGTTAAATGTATAATATACATTGTAGATGTAGATAACAGATGTAGCAAAAAAATGTAAAATGTAAAATTTTTTTTTTTATTTTAAAATTCTAAAAAATCTTAAGCTCAAAAATGTATATACTGACTGAGTACGGGTATAAGTAGAGTCGTGTCCCCAGAAGCGACTCACACGTTCCTTCTTGTTTTGTAATGAACTTTGCTATTTTGAAAAGATAATTAAAACAGCTAAAAGTTCAGCCCAAACGTCTTGTGATTTCAGCTTACCGTCTGGGAAATATAACGCATTGAAATGTAAAAATGATTTTTGTACGGTATTTTTTACGAAATTTTGACTTTAAAAACTCAGGAAAAGTAGAAAAAAGCGCTACCTCTGAAAATAGCTTAAAAAAAAGTACGTTTTCAAAAATGTTTCATAAAAAAGTTCTGCCATAGAAAAAAATAATATTTGTAAGCCCCAAATCTTTCAGAAAAAGTGGGTTTTATTCCTTGAGGAAAACCCTTGTCGAGTAGTGTAATTATTATTATAAGTATATTGATTTAAAAGCTTAAATTTTGGGGAAAACAAATCTCAAAAGTAATAATTTTTGCATTTTAAAGTTTAATATTTCACGGACGATAAGCTGAAACTACAAAGTATCTAGATATTTATTTATATCTAGTATCTATATCTAGATCTAGGCTACGAAAAGTAATTTCGGGGTGTCTCTCATGCTATCTACATATCTACGACTTTGCCTTGGACGATAACTACTTTCTACCATGGTAGTTAATGCATTAACTGCATTGACATACATATGTACATATGTATCAAGTCCCTCTATAAAAAATGTATGCTCAAAGAAACTTTGAGAGTATGGTGGGCGTACCCTTTAATTATGCACTGTGCGGAAATAAATACATATATGTACATACATATGTACATATAGTATATAACACAATTGTGTACTTAAGTACATTATGCATACATACTCACAATAAACAACCAAAACCCAGATTAATAAATTTTGTATCTAAAAACTATTAATTTCTTATTTGCGAATGTTATTAGTAGTGTTCATATGTACATATGCGTTTTTATACCTTAAATCAAACAGGCATTTTCGTAACTCGTGAACCTTTACCACTCCTTTTGGATAACGCAAAAATATTTGCATTATCAAAAATACTATAGTGAAGAGCTCGCAAAAGTCTTGGGGAACTTCATGGCCGGCATTTGTCAGTTTGCTTTTTGCAAGGGACAGCACTTCGCAACAGGATTTCTTGGTCTCTATGTAATGTACGGATACTTGAATTAAGACGCGCAGCATCGATTTAGATAATTGTGGAAGGAACACGGAATATGGTTGAACATTTCTCAGAACATTCTGGCGGAAGGTACATGTCATTTTGTCCAACGATTTTTATTAATTTTTTTTTTTTGGTATTTAATCGCTAAAGCGAATTCAGTGGTCGCACGACGATGAATCTGCAATGAACAGATACTTCAGTTGGTATGGTGATATCGATGTTTTGTTGTGGACGGCATGCCCAGTGTTGCTTTTCGATGATTCCAATGTTTTGTTGAAGAGGGCATGCACGGTGTTGCATTAAGATGATGTTATCGATGATGATAACACTAGTCAACACGACATTTAGGCAGTGGCCCAAAATGACTTTTCTTATAGATTTGGGTGTTTAAAAATTTTTAACGTGATTAAGCGAAGAGGCGTCTCGAAGTCCCACAGTTCTGAATCCCAAAATAAAGACGTTAGGCAGTTCCAATTTCTTCAGTATATTCCTGGGGGTTTATTCACTATATATATATATATTAAGGGATCCCGTGAAAAAGCCAGCCGTTTGCTTGTGGGTGAAGAAGCGCATTAATACTAGTCGAAGTCAGCTGCCGGCGGATGTCGGCAGCGGGTGCGTGAGCGTGGGCGGGAGCGTAAGTGTGGTAAGTCAGAGCGCGCGAGAGCGCGTCACCGGGGGGAAAAACGCTCTTAAGCGTGAGAGCGAGAGCGTGGGCAACAGCTTGCGTAGCTGGATCGCTAACAGTGGTGTGGCTGGAATGCCCACAGAGCTGTTGCCCCGCCAGAACCGTCCTCGCTCTGAATATAACGCATTATGGATTTTTTTTTATTGTTTAATTTTTTTTTTAAGAATTTTTTTTTTTATGGTTTTTTTCAGAGGTAGTGCTTCTATTTTTCACATAACTTTTTCACATTAGTATCTGGTTCTATAGAACTTTGCAGTTCTGAAAAGCTGACAAGTGCAGCTATAAGTCCGACCCAGACACTTTGTATCTGCAGCTTAACGCCTGGAAGATATTAAGCTTTCAACTTCAAATTTCATAATTTTTTGCGGTTTATTTTTATTGAAATTCTTCATCTTCATGGCCTCCTTGAGCTGGTGTAGCTGCATTTACTGAGTTATTATTGAAGTAGATAGGGGTCTTCGACTGGATGCCAAGTAACTCCAGAAAAAGTGGTTGTTTAGTCTTTCGTCGATGTTCTTCAGCCCGTTTTAACAACATGATTTTGTCACGACTGCTTTCAAATTTAACTATGATCACAGGATCTACAACAGACTCATGTGTATGTGCATGCACCCGCGACTTGATGCGAAAAATCTCATTAATTTTCGGTGGTGGGACGAGGCCTTACACGTTCCTTCTCGTTTTTTCTTCACTGCGGTACACGGCTCCATCTGTTCAATACCAACGACTTAACAACATCTTGTAGCTATTGCACTCAGTTTTAAGCTTTAAGCTGCAGCAGCACCCCTAACTACGACATTTTGGAATCACTTGCTAATATCGGGCTCGAGACACGACATCCGCAATTATAAATAAAATGAAAAGGGTGGATAGGGAAAACTGTGTTTTGGGTACAAATATATAATTTTATTTTCTTTGTTGGGTATGATAAATATAACAATACATATATTACAACATGTTTAAATTTGGAAATCGTCATTGAACTTTGCTCTATTATATAGAGCATGACTGGTAACACTGTCATTTTTATTTAAATAAAAGCAGCCACGTCTATATAATACAATAATTCCTAATGTAATCGGAAAGCCAATAAATATAAAAACTAGGAGCCCAATCCAGAAAATACTACTGCTGCTGTTATTGTCAATTAAACGATCCGTCGCTACCTTTAAAACAGCCACATTTTGTAATACAGGGGGTGAACTACACTCTACATTTTTTGCCAGAATTGGGGTTGTTTTGTTTATTTGTGGTAGAAGGATGTTAATTAAATAATCATTCGACTCATCGCAGTTCCATGGATTAAATCGAAGATCAAGTACTCCAAGTTTATCCCAACGTACAAGTAATGACCTTGGTATTGCTGTCAGGTTGCAATTATTTAAGTAAATCTGTTTTCATTTAAAGATAAATATAAAAAACATTTATACATATGTATGTTGGATTTGGATTTTTTATGTTACTTTTTCCAATGGAGGATAGTTCATGTATTGTCCATCAGACAGGTTTTTTGCTAGGGCGAGCTCATCGATTTCGACTAGAAACTTGTTATCAGACAATATTAGTTCTGTAAGATCTGAAAATATGTAATTAAAATAGAAACAAATACGTTTTATTTACAAACTTCAATATTAATTTGGTTGTGCTGCAGCTAAAACGATTAAAAAGATAAACTTTTCCGCTTTGTTTTGTTCCCGAATAAAGAAAACGGTAAGAAAAAAAAATTATATTCATTATTATGTTTTCTATAGGTAGTACTTTTTCACATAACTTTAGTATCTTACCAATGTTTGCGTTTTCAAGAATAAATCGCTAAGTTTTGGCGAAAGTGAAACCGGAGTGCCTGAATAAGACTAGTCGATACGACATTTCCGCTGTGGCCCAAAATTACATTTTCTGATAGATTTCGGGATTTACAAATTTTTAAAGAATTATGGTTTTTTTTATGGTTTAGTTTTTTTTAAGAATTTGTTAAAATATGGTATTTTGCATGTTTTTTGTTTCTATTTTTCAAATTACTTAAGTATCTTAAATCCTGTTTGCATGGCATTTTGCAGTTCTGAAAGCATTTCTGCTGACAAATGCAGCTATAAATCCGACCCACACACTTTGTAGCAGCAGCCTGGAAGATATTAAGCTTTCAAATTCAAATTTCATCTTTTTTTCGCGGTATTTTCCCCTGAAATTTTGACTTTAAAAACTCAGGAAAAGTCGGAATAAAATTGAGACGTCGTTTAAGGTATTGTTAGTTAAAATCTATGGTGGAGCTATAATTCGTTAGCAAAACCTAAAAAAATGAAAAAATAAACAAAAAATACTTTTTGGAAGGTTGCGGGTCCAACTGCCGATGTGGAACAAAGCAAACGAAAAGGAGTTGAATTTTCGCTACCTGAACGTGTTCCTTTGGCATTAAATGTTGTTGACAGTTTCTTTTTTTCGTTGTGCCAAATCTGAGGTATGGTTACCAGTTCAGGTCAAATGTTGACCTTTATTTTTTAACAAGTGCAGGTCCACACAACTTAGACATTTGTCGCTTCTACCTAATCATATTTCAATGAAACCAAAGGAAAAAGAGAAGGAACGTTTGAGTCGCTTCTGTGGACGCGACTCTACTTATACCCGTATTCAGTCAGTATATAAATTTTTTAGCTTATAATTTTTTATAATTTTAGAATTAAAAAACATTTTACATTTTAAATTTTTTTTGCTATATCTGTTATCTACATCTACAATGTATAATCTACATTTAACATGTAGACTCGCGTAAAAAACGAGCCAGAGTGTGCGAGCGAGAAAGAGAATGAGAGAATCTCCCACTATCTTCAGCAAGAGAGCGGGTCTAGCAACGGAAAATTAATTTCTTCATTCTGGCTATATTATTTGATTCAGATTCGGCAGTCTGGTAGATATGGGAATTTTCTGCGATACTGCGTTTTTAGTTTTATCGTATCTTTAAAAATGTGCCTGCCACAGATTTTCGTTTTTTGTGGGGACGGGCGAAATTTTGAAATACACTTGTAGCAGTGGGATATCACATGAGTCTGGAAACCAAATTTGGTTGCCCTAGCTTTTATAGTCTCTGAGATCTAGGCGCTCAACAAGATGGACGGACGGACGGTCGGACGGACGGACAGACAGACATGGCTATAACGACTCGGCTATTGATGCTGATCAAGAATATATATACTTTATGGGGTCGGAAACGTTTCCTTCTCTGCGTTACACACATCCACTTTTACCACAAATCTAATATACCCCTTAACTCTTTTTTGAGTACGGGTATAAAAAGCCACTAAACTAAATAAAAAGTTTATTTATTTATTTATTGAGTATCGGCTAACAATGTTCCCGCTCTTTCTTTTAATTTGGAAGATCAAACCTAGAAGATTGCACATTGATGTTCAAAGAATGTGGTTCTTAGATTTCAGCTTAGATTTTTACACTTACTCTGCAATTCACTCATAGCTCCAACTCCGACATGCCGCAGCTTTGGCATATAAGACATACTGAGATATTTTAAGTTAGTCATCATAGGAAAAATGCTAAAATGTTAGTTTATATTAAATTTCATAAAATTATTATGGTTATGCTTTAAGGTAGAGAGATCTGTTGATCATAGCTTACTTATCGCCTTGAAGATCTTCAATTGGGTTTTCATTCAAAACAAGACTGGCCAAATTCTTTGCATATGTTAAAGCTTTTGGCAATTTACTGAAAAGATTTCCAGCTGCTATAAAAGTTTCAAGATCTCGTGGCCCATGTAGAATTGTTTGTGGCAAAATTTTTAACTGCATGTATGAAATATCCAATATCTGTAGAAAAAAAAAACAAAGATTCAATTACAATTCAATTACATATTCGAAAGTTATTGTTGTATATAAACTTGTCTGGTATTGATTTTTAAATTGAAATAAAAACGAATTTTAAAGGTTCGGCCCGTAATCGTTGTCACTTTGACCACGGTACGGTTTGCTTGTTTCTTCGCTTTTTGTGGGCTGGCAGTTTTTGTTTGATGTAGCATGGCGTAGGTATGAAAGAGAAGGAGATGTATGCAGGGAGTCAGATCCGAAAGGAGACATGCATGAAATACAGTCAAGACCCTAATGAAAGCTTGCATATTCTTGCATGTGGGAGTGATGTCCTGAAAATGCAATAGTGCAATGAGAAAATAACTGCGTAGCTAATCATTTCTGGATATTGAAGCGAGAAGGTCATGTCACGCTACCGGTTTTCCCAAGAGGTGGCAAAAGAAGAGGAGAAGGAAGATACTGGAGAAGATGATCAAAATCAATCTCCGACACACTTACACGGTACTCAGTACGCGGTACGCTCCACAGTGGGGCCTCAGCCGCAGAGGTGGCAAAACACAATTAATTTTTTAACGCTTTGGATAAATCCAATCCACGAATCCGATAGAGAATTTTCCAAAGCTTTAAAAAATGAAAGTTAAAAAAAATTTAGAATATATGAGCAATCAAAGTTGAAAATTATTTCCGTGTGCAAAAATGTTTTCAACTTTTATTGACATACTGCATCTTTCAGGTAGAATAAAAAGTAAACTGTGTTACGTTACATTTTGTTTTTGGTATCTTTTATCAATATTCAATAAAAAACTGGACCGTTTCATAGACAGTTATAGTTTTTGGGTTGTTTTTATACCCGTACTCAAAAAAGAGTTAAGGGGTATATTAGATTTGTGGTAAAAGTGGATGTGTGCAACGCAGAGAAGGAAACGTTTCCGACCCCATAAAGTATATATATTCTTGATCAGCATCAATACCCGAGTCGATATAGCCATGTCCGTCTGTCCGTCTCGATGAGAGCCTGGATCTCAGAGTCTAAAAAAGACTCATGTGATATCACACTGCTACAAGTGTATTTCAAAATTTCGCCCCGCCTCCACAACGGACGAAAATCTGTGGCAGGCACAATTTTAAAGATACGATAAAACTGAAAACGCAGAGAATGACCATTTTGCCGAATCTGAATCAGACCAGATCAATTTTATAGCCAGAATGAAGAAATTGATTTTTAGTTGTTTCCCTCGCCCCATCCTGCCAGTAGCGACCACGCTACTCATTCTCTTTCTCGCTCGCACACTCTTCAGTGCGCGAGGAACCCCTAGCAGAGGAGATGTAGAATCTAAATGGTACATGTACAATCTACCTGTTAGATGTAGAATATACATTGTAGATCAGATGTAGATAACATATGTAGCAAAAAAATGTAAAGTGTAAACTTTTTTTTTTAATTCTAAAATTCTAAAAAATCATAAGCTGAAAAATATATTTACTGACTGAATACGGGTATAAGTAGAGTCGCGTCCCCAGAAGCGACTCACACGTTCCTTCTCGTTTTTTTTTTTAAACTAACTTACTGTCTTTTAGTTACCTACTAGAATGCTAGAGCCTTGCGTAGTAACCTCAAAAATTTCTTTCAAGAGAGTCTCACATTTTCGTCCTACGTTATTGTGTTCCTGATTAAAGCTGGACATTCTTAGTTCCGAAGTGTTGGCAGGTCGATACCCAATCTTAAGAAGTGACCGCTCGTCTCGAAGTGGTTCTCATTGCAGTGGACTCAAACTTCATATAGGAACATTTCATAGTCCATTTTCAACAGAACCTGGAATTCCTGTGCGTAAAATATACGTTTTGCATGATCTTGGCTTTGTCTCGAATCCGACAATAGCGTTGCTAACACGAGGCCATCCGCTCACAATATAAACCTGGTGACGTTTACCTAGCATTATACATACCATCGTTCGATATTGAATATACTGTATTAGGTCTAACAGGAAGGTTATTTAAACGTGTCCTCTGCTTTCGCAAAGCCGAGTTATGAAGCTCAACAGCCTTATTAGGGATTTTGATTGGTCCGCTCTGTACTTGTCTAATGATGTTTTGAAAGGCACAAACATTTTTAACAATGTACTTGGCACACTTTTTTAATCTTTTTTAATCTGGGAAAAATACAACATTTCATGAAGTTTGTTCTTTTTATCTTACGTGCTATGTAATAGCTCGCTCCTTTCTTAACGCTTGCAAAGAACCATGAATCCCAATGTTCGTCACAAGCAGTCGATGCAACCAACGCTACTTCCAGGTGAAGATATCCACACAAACGAATTCGAAGACGCAGCACAGGTCGATGGACAGAAAGATAACCAACCCCCATCGCTGCAAAACCTAAGTAACCAAAGCTCTCAAATGACTAGATCAACACCCAGCAAATACGAAAACTCAGCACGTGCTAAAAGACAGGAGACCGGCACAAGGGGGCTTACGCAATTAGTACCTAAAATAATATTAAATAAATAAATATTCCTAAAAATATATTCACGAAGTTTTAACGAAATTCCTTTCCCTCGGGACCGGTGCACACCGATCACCTTACCTGGGACATTGGACACTTGGTGGGAGGTTGGGATAGGTAACCCTCTGCAACCGGGAAATCCACTCGGCAATATATGTATATGTAAGAACCTTCCAACTTTCCGAAATAGAAATAAGATATCTGTATGGCATTGGTGGGAAAATCGATGGCCGGCCGATCCATAAAAGGTACTGCCTGGCGTAGAGACGAGGCAGTCGATCGGCCGTCCATCGGGAGTCAAGAACTACAATACACGTCGTGGTCAGTCGGTCAACATAACCGAGTAGGTTTCCGAGAGGAAACAACTAAAAATCAATTTCTTCATTCTGGCTATAATAATGATCTGGTCCGATTCAGATTCGGCCACCTGATAGATATGGTCATTCTCTGCGTTTTTAGTTTTATCGTATCTTTAAAATTGTGCCTGCCACAGATTTTCGTCCTTTGTGGAGGCGGAAGGAGGCGGGGCGAAATTTTGAAATACACTTGTAGCAGTGTGATATCACATGAGTCTGGAAATAAAATTTGGTTCCTCTAGCTTTTATAGTCTCTGAGATGCATATCTCAGCCTGAGATAGGTCCTCACACGCTCATATCTCGATGCAGGATAGCTTCGTAAACAGTAAGCGTAGAACGTCCGCACATCCATTCTCGCTATCATTTCTTAAATCGTGATCATATAATTGCCGATATTTTTGCCCAATTTTTCCAAACAACCCAGGTCCTGACGGAGTTCTCGTCTGTGTACTCAGGTACTATTCACCCTATCCATTAATTCTTAATGCTTCCCCCAATCTAGACCGAATCTTGTATCATCCTATCCATAACAAAGGTAGCAAGACTGACGCAAAGAATATTACAGGTTATTCCTAAAGTGTTTGAGGCAAGTTTAACTACGCACTTGCCGTATCTCTGCAAATCACTTATGTATCCAGATCAGCTCAGATTTATAAAGACGACGATCAACAACCACAAATTTATTAGACGTCACCTCTTTTATCATTAAAGGCTTCCAATGTAACTTGCAGACAGAATTTATTTTCCCTAAGTACAAAATACACCAAGACCATAAAGAATTAGTCCAGTAAAACCTTTTACTTTTTGCTCTGCGAGGCCTTAACTGGGATGCAAGTGTGAGACTGCCATCTTACCACCATACCATACTTACCCATACTTAGCCTTAGTTAGCCGCAGAAAAATGCTTGGTATGATTTAAATGCACAATTCGTCATGGGTAACGTAGATTGCCAGTATTGAGCGTTAATAACGGAGAAATTCGACCGAGCTAATACACAGCCGGCTAAGGGCCATATTGGCCTATGCGTGGCCCCGTGAGGGCCGTCTGGGTTAACCTAACCTAACCTAATACACAGCGAGAGAGAGAGAAGAATAAGAACATACTTCTTGAAGATTTTGATAGTTTTTATTTTAAGAGTTTTATACTGGAAAACTCTTTGGGGAACTAAGGGGTTTCCCACATCTAATTGGGCAAAAAAGGCGGACACACGTATCAAAAATTGTGTCCACAAAAAAATTGTGTGTCTTTCATAACGTCAGTGCACAAGAACAGAGCGGACCAATCAAAATCCCTAATGGGGCTATTAAGCTTTTTAAACTCGGCTTTACGAAAGCATCGGACATGTTCAAAAAATTATCCGTTTGATCCTATACAATAGGTCCAATATCGACCGACTTTTTATACCCGTACTCAAAAAAGAGTTAAGGGGTATATTAGATTTGTGGTAAAAGTGGATGTGTGCAACGCAGAGAAGGAAACGTTTCCGACCCCATAAAGTATATATATTCTTGATCAGCATCAATACCCGAGTCGATATAGCCATGTCCGTCTGTCCGTCTCGATGAGAGCCTGGATCTCAGAGTCTAAAAAAGACTCATGTGATATCACACTGCTACAAGTGTATTTCCAAATTTCGCCCCGCCTCCACAACGGACGAAAATCTGTGGCAGGCACAATTTTAAAGATACGATAAAACTGAAAACGCAGAGAATGACCATTTTGCCGAATCTGAATCAGACCAGATCAATTTTATAGCCAGAATGAAGAAATTGATTTTTAGTTGTTTCCTCGCCCCATCCTGCCAGTAGCGACCACGCTACTCATTCTCTTCTCGCTCGCACACTCTTCAGTGCGCGAGGAACCCCTAGCAGAGGAGATGTAGAATCTAAATGGTACATGTACAATCTACCTGTTAGATGTAGAATATACATTGTAGATCAGATGTAGATAACATATGTAGCAAAAAAATGTAAAGTGTAAACTTTTTTTTTTAATTCTAAAATTCTAAAAAATCATAAGCTGAAAAATATATATACTGACTGAATACGGGTATAAGTAGAGTGGCGTCCCCAGAAGCGACTCACATGTTCCTTCTCGTTTTTTTTTTTAAACTAACTTACTGTCTTTTAGTTACCTACTAGA